CTTTTGGGCCCTTAACGGGTTTGAAAACTCTTGAAACTTTGCACACAGGTCAGATCCCACAGCCATCAGCCCGGCTGAAGATGATACCTGGGCGTGGCAGGGGGGCTAGACAGCGCCCCCTGGAAGGGGGTCCAAAAACTTGGTCCATAAATCAAACACGCTTGCATGTAATAATATGAAACTCGGTACACATGTTGATGTCATCGTTTCATATATACCTCACACTCTTACTTTTACCCCAGCTAGACATGAAGTCGGTTATTTAGGGTTTTTCATAAAACACACACAATGGAATTTGCAATACTCCTCCTAGAGAATTCAAACACACGGCACGAAACTCGGTCAGCATGAAGTCAAGAAACTGAGGATGAAATTTTGCGAGGGGATTTTTGATATCTCAAACGGTTTGGCCGTGGCGAGGAAATAAAATTATGGCGAGAAACGTGAAACAGGAAGTGTGTTATAACTTCAGCATACATTAACTGATCTTGATGAAACTTCAGCAGTGTGTTCGCTGTAAGAGGCCGATCACATGGATGTGACTATTGTGAGTCAAAGTTATAGCGCCACCAACTGGCAGCAGGAAGTGTGTCACTTTCCAAATGCTTTAAAATCATCCTTTTATTTTGACCCGATTTGCTTCAAACTTCATCTGTATAATGTAAATACATGGCAGATGAAGACCTGAGAATGGATTCTTGATATATCTGATACTGTTGCCGTGGCAACGCATCAAACTTTGAAATTATTTTAGGATGCTTTTGAGACTCTTAGCATGCTTGAAATTGCATGAAAATCAACAGACACATCACATTTATTAGCCAGTAGACATGTGCAAAGTTTCAGAAACGGGCATGGTGCAGGGACTAAATAGCGCCACCTTTTGACAAAAGGTCAAAATTCACGCGAATACTTTTTGTGCGAAAAAAACAAACAAAAATAACGAGTTTATTCGACTATTTCTTTTCTTCCTTGTAGGCCAGAACGAGACTTCCTTAGATTTCCACGACGCATGCGCGAGAATTGCGATCTGAAGTGGTGTAAGCTGATGTGAGCAGATCGCAAATCTCGCGCATGCGTCGTGGAAATCTAAGGAAGTCTCGTTCTGGCCTACAAGGAAGAAAAGAAATAGTCGAATAAACTCGTTATTTTTGTTTGTTTTTTCGCACAAAAAGTATTCGCGTCGCTTGATAAACATATAGTTGAGCCACGGTAGTCACTTGGGATATTTAAACATTTTCTTCATTGACTTTCTGGGCCGTCAAGAGGCAGTCCTTTAGGAGCCAATGTGGTAGTTATACAGCTCTCAAATTTAATCAAAAATATCTTCATTTGTGTTCCGAAGACGAACGAAGGTCTTACGGGGTTGGTACAGCATGGGGATGAGTAATTAATGACTTAATTTTCATTTTTGGGTGAACTAACCCTTTAAGTTTTTAGTGCTTTGTTTGAGGTTTTTAGTGCTCTGTCCTATCTTTTATCAACATATAATAGATAGAACAGAACAAGAAAGGCAATTAATAATCTGTCATTGCATTATGATATGAAAGGCTCAGTACAGTGTGGCACAAAACGCTTAAGCGCATCCCGAGTGGAGAATGATGCGCTTAAAGCCACATGGAGTTACAGCGCACAGCGCATCGAGTCCGCATTGATGCAAGCTCTACAATACACTTCTTTTCGACAGTCAAAGTGGGGGTTACGTTTTTGCACGTCATACAGAATAACCCTAAAGGCATCGGGGTTGCGGTGCCACCGGCTTGGGCCCGCAATCGCTGCTCGCAGCTATATTTAAACTTGGTTCCCGGCTCCTTTTTCCCAAAACTACTGAACTCGTTACAAATGTAGGCCTACTAGCAAACCTTATCTAGCATTAGGCGTACATATCGCTAGAATAATTACTTGAATTATATTACATAAGTTACGTTATTGTTATATTATCTTACTAGCTATTTATAACTTATAGAAAGGGTGCAACGTTATAAATTTCCATTACATGTATTGCAAATACGTAATGATTTGAGGACCAAGTTTGTAGTCCAAGTATGAGCAGGCCTTAGTCAATGTAAAGCATATTGTTGATGTTTTGTCCCTACTAGTGAATGTGCCATATAACATATTATCCGCCGTCATTGGTGTCCCTGCTTACTAGCCTGCGCGTTCCCGACAGGCTCCGCTGTGGGGGAGGAGCTGTGGGGGAGGGCTGGAGCGCAGCAGACAGCAATGGGGTGGGACCTGTAAGTTGTGCTTGTTCAAATTTTCAGGCTAAGTCAACATTTTCTCAAAACTCCCTACTGCAGCTTTAAACTAGGGATATGTATTATTATCCATATGTCTGTACATAAAGTCCATTCAATTTTTTTCCAAATGCAAATGTGTCGTTGGAGGTGCAATAAAACCATGTTTTATTGTAGAAACTTTTTTTGTTTAGGTAACAAAGCAATTATTATTGTAACATTACATTAGACAATTGTAAAAATCTGGTGTTTTTTCCTTTTTATTAAAAATACAAAACTTTCTGGAAGACATTCGATTTTATATTCATGCTGATACCTCAATGATAAGATTTGAACTCAAAACATGATAAGTGTTGATTAGTAGGAGATTTACATTTACAGTAATTGTTTGACCTTTTTTCGACTGAAGTTTCATGGGTGTCAATGAATTAAATCTCTTGAACTAGGATTACCTGTAAACCATATTACCACAACATAAGACAAAAATAGCCTTTAGGATAGCTAATGCTTGTACTTTCCCACTTGTGTGCATGCTAACGATGCTGATGACCACTTATGGTCTAACACTGAAAGGCTCTAAATTTGCTAAATTCAGTTCTGTTTTTTTAATCCCCAAGTCTCTGCTATGTATATAGACAAACTGACCTTGGATAATGCTGAGGAGTTTATCTTGGTCCTTATTTTGTTCTCTCCAAAGACGGAGCAGATGTAATGCCTGCTGCTGAGGACTGCAGCTTTTCTTCAGCCTTTCAACACTCTTCCAGTCCACTTTGCGTCCTGGAAGGCTCTCAGAAAGACGCTCCACAGGGAAAGAGGCCAAAGGAGGTGATGCAAGGAACTGAAATATTGCTTCCTCACATAGAGTAATTTCTGGAAGGTCATGAAAGAGAGGTGTGGGAATATTATGGACAAGGAAGCCTGATAACAGCACAAAAGAAATCACAAGGTTTTGCAGAAACAAAATAGAAACAGATACCAAACCATATGAGTATTGCAGCTACTCTGTATTCTTTTAGCCCATAGATTCTAATGTTTTAATAAATAACATGCTGAGAGCAGCTTTGACTATTCACATCTTTAAACTGTACTCTACACTCACAAAAAATGTTGGGTTGGTTTAACCCAATTTTGGCTCAAATATGGACAAACCCAAACGTGTGGTTAAAAATGTAATTAAAAAAATTAACCCTAAGGCTGGGTTTGTCCATATTTGACCCAAATTTGGGTTAAAACAACCCACCATTTTTTAGAGTGTACCAATGTCTTTTGCTTTTATAGGGTAATATGTAGGTTAGTAATATTTAGGGGAATACCTTATTTAAAAGGTAACATTTTCTAATGTAATATTACATACAAATACAATTTACAAGAATAATTGATTTGTTACCTAAACAAAAAAAAAACACAATTATGTATGTACATTTACATTTGTTTAAAGGGTCTACAAATAAAGATATTTACTAACTATTTACAAGATTTAAATACTGCATAGACTGGATAAAAGAAACAACAACAAATGTTGTTTTTTCAATGTGTCTCCAAGCATTTTCTTGAAAAACATGGGGACATTCTTTTAACTTAATATCCTTTTTTGAATAATATCTTTAAAGTTGCTCTAAGCGATGTCAAGCGTTTTTTAGGCCAAACATTTTTTTTTTTCACATACAGCAAACATCTCCTCACTGTCCGCTATAGCTGCCTGTCCCCTGAACACACTGTAAAAAAATGAAGGCCTCTGCAGACACCCCAGGCTCCACAAACGGCAACAAAAACAAACTGGGCTAACCCGCACCACGAAACATAACAAACCGTTAAAGCCAATAACCGACAAGAAGGATTTGGGGGTGGGGTTTGGGGGGTTAGTGCGTGGATGACGTACAGGGAGGGTCTAGCTATATAGCCTCCGTTTTGTTTGACAATACTTCAACAAGAAGTGACGTCATAACATCGCTTTAGAGCACCTTTAAGAGCCGCAGGTTTTACACTCATACCAAAAGTTCACCACTGATCTAAATAATTAGCCTAGAAATCTAGACGCACCCTAGCGGCAGCAAAAATTATTTTGCAGCAAAGTGTGGTCTAGCAACTCTCCATAGACGTTTTAGCTGGAAAACCCCAACTCTGGTAGGGCCAATCACATCGTGTATAGAGTCGGCGGGCAGGCTTAACATAATGACGAAAGAGTTGCGACGGTCAGAGCAAGCTCGCGCATTTTTGGTTTTAAGTCGTTCATCCTCGGATGCGGCCGGCGCCGCGCGCGCTGTTATAAAAAAGCTGTGGCGAAACGGAAACGATCAACTTGTCATGGCTCGCTCGTGCTATGGCGTCGAGTATAAAGGCTTTACTCCGTGTCAGCGCGCGCTCTGATCGGTAAGGTGCACGGACCTCTCCCGAATCATCCCTAGCGCTCCGAAGCACTCTGCCTCCGTTTCCCTCGTAAGCTGAAATTAGCATTTAAACATTCTCTATGATATTATTTTTTTTAATGACACACTGTCTCTTTCTCTCTCATACACACACACACACACACACACACACATACTGTCTCTTTCTCTCTCACACATATGTAGGCTAGTTATAAACTCTTTAGACTTTTAATGATTAGTGTTTTATTTTTAAAGTTTGTGGGTCGTGTAAAAAACAAACAAAAAAAATCCATTATTTTGGGATGGATTCCGGGAAATCTCCCTTATTTTCAATGTTCAATGTTGACAGCTGGACTGGATACGGTAAAAGTTTAATATATTATCAACTTGCTCCGCTGAGTACGTCACCTTCTTCATTGCTCTGATTGGCTTTAGCGCTATCCAATTGCGTGCAGAGAGAATTTGAAAGACAGCCGGTTATCCCGCCCCTTGGATTGAGCCCTGTCAATGATGAGTTTCCAGACCTAACATCTTGATTTGATCTTGATGCAAAATTATGCAAATAATTTCAGACCTACACAATTATGCAAATAATTTCAATGGATATTTCAGCCTCCAATGATACAAATTCTTTGCATTAAAAAAAACCCCAAGAGCATTATTATAAGTGGAGCACACATAAAGATGCCTCTCAAACAGTCCTCTGGAGTTCTTTTTCATGGTTTATTGCACTTAAATGGTCAAATACACACAACATATAATCAAAATGCCTGTCTTGGTGAGTATTCAGGTACACAGGAATGAGGTCTGCTGTAAGCATTGAGAATGAAAGATCTGTGCACCTCTTAAAGTGACAGCAGCCTAATATACTGTTATCATGTAAATCAAAGAACAATAAAATCACTCACTGCTCTTGACTGAATAATTTTTGTAACTAACTGTAAGCATTAACCTATTTAATTTTTACAATGAAGACTATCCAGTGTTATTTTACGTTTGATTACTTTAATTAATTTCTATAGTAATACTATTTGACCCAACTGAAAAACACTAAGCCAAGTTCATTTCATTCTATTGTATTTTATGATATAATTTGCAATTTATTTGTTCTTATTTTATTAACACTTGTCTTTTTTGTAAATTGAGTTCAGAGTTTCAAAAAAGCCTCCCTTTGTTATGTGCAAGCTATTGCAACAGAATTACCCAAAATATCGAAAAATTATGGTAATAATAAAAATATCTATATGTGTCACGGATGGAACAGGATTCAGACAGGTGGTAAGTAAAATAGAGTTTATTTACAGGATTGCAGAACCAGATGGAGATATGGTGAGATATTACCATGCAAGAAGGTGGTAATCAAAATGGAACTTAGCTGAATGAATAAACAATCTCTGTTGCAGGTGCTGAAGGAGAGTCTCTGGGAATGGACTGATGACCGAAGACTGAAGACTGGATTTCTGTGTGAAGCTTGATGGTGATCGGCAGATGGAACTCAGGAAAGTAGCATGAGAGTCTGTGGGTCATGTAGAGACGAGACAATGAGTGTGTGAAGAGGAGTCGAATCAGAGCCCGTCTAACGGAAAGCCTTGGCACTTCCTATTAGCCCCGTTGTGTATCATCTTGGTTGCAGTTCCATTAGAATTCCACTGGAGGTGATCGCGGGCGAGCGCAGAATGAATGGGAGTCTATGGGGCTAAACGGCTAAATGTGTCTCTTTCACCTGCTTGTCGTTAAATCAAAATAGATTTTATTGTTGATTCCGCATGTTCAATATAGGTTATAGGCCAAAAGTCGAATGAACGAGTACTTATGTCCTTTTGATTTCTTACAGGTTAGGCCAGTGTTGGCCGGAACACGCTAGCATTCTGCTATTGTGTGACGTCATCACATTTTTGAACGGATTTTTAGAACAGATAAGTGAACTTAAAAATGCAATTTTCAGCTGAGTGTATTTTCTTAGCCCTCCCTTTTGAATTCAACTTTCAAATTACTTGACAAAAAATTACATCCTGAGAAACGTGGATTTTTTGGGGTGAAACCCCATTGACTCCCATTCATTCTGCACTCGACGGCAAGCGCCCCCGCATGGACAGAGACCATTACTGCAGCCAGTCCAGAACCCGGAAGTAACCAGCCAGTGCCTATTCTCTTCAATTAGACATTCTCTGGTCGAATATAAATGGAGGTGAACTGATGAGGTGCAGGTGATGATTATTAGAATGAAGAGAGTGAATGAGTGGGAGGAGTTAGTGAATCTGGTGGAAACCTGAGAGTACCCTCCTCATCCGAGGAGGCTCTTGACGCCTGAGGCCTACCACGACTCCTGGGAGCAGGGCGATCAGGATGGTCGGCGTGAAACTGAGTGAGGAGAGCTGGATCTAGGATGTCATCGCAAGGAACCCACGACTGTTCCTCTGGACCATTATCCTCCCAGTCGACAAGGTATTCCAAACGAGGACTTCGTCTGTGCGAGTCCATGATGGTGCGGACGATAGATGGTTCTTGTTCGACTGGTACCGGAGGAGGAGGTATGTCACCAGAGACTGTTTCTGTGGGAGGAGAAGTGACAGGTTCAATGAAGGGCTTCAACAGTGAAACATGGAAAGATGGTGAATTCCTGTAGTAAGAACATCCCTGTATGTGACTGCGTTTAGCTGCCTCTGCATGGTGAAAGGACCAATGTATCAAGGACACAAGTTACAGCAGGGCAGGCGGAGGTTCAGCTTGACGACGATTTGCTTGGTTCTTGTGGCACTGCCTGTTGGAGTTGCACGTGAGCAGAGTCCCATACCCTCTCGCTGTGATGGAACCAGTAGTCGACAGCTAAAACCTTCAAGGGCTCACCTGACCAAGGGAAGAGTGGAGGTTGATAGATATTGAAAGGGGGTGAGCCCAGTGGTGGACTGCCGAAGGGAATTCTGGGCGTACTCTGCCTAGGGAAGGAACTGGCTCCAGCTGTCCTGGTGCTGGTGGCAATAGGTCCAATCTCCTGGATCTTACGCTCAGTCTGGCCATTTGTCTGAGGGTGGTATCCAGAAGATAGCCTGACAGTAACCCAGAGGAGTCTGAACTTGACTGATCTGAACTGAAGGCTTGCCAAACCCTTGAAATTAACTGTGGACCTCTGTCCGACACTATGTCCTCGGGAATGCTGAAGTTTCAAAAGACATAATTGAAGAGGGCCTCTGTGCCCACAAACATGGTTGGAAGTCCAGGCAATGGGATCAGCTTGCAAGCCTTCGAAAAAGCGATCCACAATGACGAGGACACAAGTGTGGTTACTGGATCTGGGAAGGTCTTTTATGAAATCAAATCCAATGTGGGACCACGGTCGTTGTGGGATTGGAAGTGGCATGAGCTCGCCCTCCGGGAGTCTTCTAGGGGTGTTCAAAATCATCCACGTTTGGTAGAGCTGATCAAGGGTATTACCTGATTGGTTAATTAATTTGAATACCCCCGGAGGGGATGACGAAAGTTCTCCTGGGAAATCTGCTCATCGATGTCTCAGATGATCGGGCTGACGATCATGGCTGGAGGGAGAATAGGTTCAGGTAGAGCATCTTCGGCTGAAGAATGATGAAGACGGGAGAGAGCATGCACTTTACAAATCTTGCTGCCAGGTTGGTACAGTTGGTGATCAACCAGAATGTCGTTTACCGCCAAAATGTCCACAAGGTGGCGCAAAGGGACATTTAGCGAAAGAAAAACGTAGGCTAATTATATAAAAATAGCCTACATTTTAAATAGAATATTGCTTTAAATATAATCTAAACGTTTATAGCAGAACATTTTATTAATCAAAAGTTAAAATAGGCCTATCTCGCAGTCAGTGAAAATAAATTGGGTGCTTTCAATGATGCTATTGAGGAATGAGAAGCCTGAATCAATCTTTTTTGGTATAGTTTCATTTTGAATTGTTCTGTTTACAAGTTGACATTTCAATATAGATATACGTTTCAGGTCTGTGGAGTAGGCTATACTTAGGCTATACGCTGAGTTTATATTTATGAGACGCGCTCCGCACCGGCGCCTGCGTGTCGTGATTATCTATAATTGTTTGCTTTTACTTCTTATGAATTAAATCCAGGCAATTGGTTGATGAAACATTGATTAAAATCAAGATCAAATCGAAAGGAAAACGAAATTCACTTTAAATAAAGGCTTTGTGCTTTTCTGTTTGAGGTCTGTGGAAGTTTTAAATCCGTCTTTTAGTGCCGCTTCAGAGCGCTCACGTCCGAATAATGGAGAACTGTCAAGTCTGTAACATTGTTTTTTCCTCATAAATGCGAACACTAAAAATAAAATAAAATGAATATTTTATGTTATGGGGAGAGCAAACCCTTCCTCATTCGATTTGCGCAGTGTAATTCACAGAATTACAAAAAATATATATATATTGCCTCCTAAGTTAAAGATTTTTTGTCACGCATGAATGCATGTCTATTTCCTTAATATTACATATAAAAACACAGACTGATATTTTTCTAATGCCTGGACTCCTTTAAGGGAGTAGCATGGATAAACAGATGTTCCAATATATTCGTATTAGCTTAATGCTTTTTCTGAGAATTTATATTTTTGACTGCAAATGCCACGTCCATAACGGGTTTTATTCTGGCACAAAGGCAAAGCGCAGTAACAACACATTTGGTCAAAACTGAGTTAAGACTTGTAATGGGCTTTATGACATGTGTTCTGTCTTGTGAAAAAATATCTGGGTTAAATTATGTCCCGTTTCGGAGATGCATTACCACATAATCTGCCCCTAACATGTTTGACTGGCTTGGATAAAAACTTTAAAGGTCTTTTTCCCCGTTTCTTTGTTTGCGTAGTTACTGCACTTTGCCTTTGTAGGGCAAAATTAGTGTTCGACGAACGCGGCGGTGCTCACTTGAATTTATTTTTCTCATAACAGCTAAAATAAAATCATCTTTTAAAACTGTAAAAGGTGTAGACTACTTTTTTCATGTAAAGTATACACTCACAATAGGTTAACGACAAAACGTTTTCTCGCTCATTTGAGTGAAAACTCAGTGGAGAAAGTTTGGTAATTTCACCGCGAGTTATGACGTGGCCGAGTGGTTGAACTTACAGTTCGAACATTACAGTGACATGGGTTCGAAACCCGATGAAACATGGTCTACTGTAGTTAAATTTTATTTTTAGGTATTAATGCAGAAAGATTTGTCTAGTTCTAAAACTCTGTTACACCATTTAGTTTTTTTTGCTTATATTTATAAAAAAAATACCATGCATTTCCATTTTACACTAAGGAAGGAACAAATAGTATCCAACAGATTGACTTCTTATTAAAAAAAAAAAAAATTATATTCTTAAATCGGATTTTATTCTGGCATGTTGAATTATTCATATAACAAAAACTTTTTTTATAATTGTCCGGACCTGTGGAAGAAAATAGAGATCAGACCTCTTGGAACTTAAATTGAATACATAGCGTTGGTATAGCATACTGAATTTACAGCCCCACAAATTTATTAGGGCCTACTGAAAAGAATGTATCGAATCGCAATTTCACGAAGGAGTCTAATATTAAGAATTCAATAAAATCAACTTTATTAATCCCACAAGGGCAATTCGTTTTAGAGCAGAATGTAGCCTGTGTGTGTGTTATGTTTCTCTGTTGTGTGTGTGCGTGACACGTTAAATGTTTTAGAATGTAACACAACATTCAAATGCAAATATGCGCCATCCCCCACTTGAAACGGCCGTGTGTCCACCAAAGCGTTTTTCCACGCGCTTGGCGTAGCCTATGTTTTCAATTGTTTTCAATGGCAGCGCTGCGTTTTTTAAACGCCATGAGCGTACTCAAAGCAGCTCCTGAGATTAGGCTGCCATTTTTAGCATGTCGTTTTTTCTTCAAATAATTCAAGAACAATATATGGTTTATTTTTGTAAAACTTTAAAACTGGCCTTTACTTTTTTTGACGATTCCTCTGGTAGCTTTTTTTTAAGGCATTCAATTGCTCCAAAAACACTAACGTTAGTAAAATTAGCCTACTGCACTTTCTCACAACTGGTTACCGGATGCACTCGGGAAGAAATATCGGTAACACTTTAGAATACTGTATCTTACTTACTGCAGAATTAATAAGGAATTATTGACGAACTAATAGGTAATTCTTCATTAACTACTTCTTCACTACTGTTAACTACTAAGGAAGATGTGTTAACTAATCAGTATGTAATATAATTTTATGATTGTGTTAAGTATCAGTTAGTTAATCAATAACTAATGAATTCTGTCATACCTCCTGAAGAACTACTACTAATTATCTACTAATTAAGGTTCAAGAAAAATAACTAAGAAGTAACTACTGAACAGTCATACAAAACTAACCTCAGATTATTTGTATATTTTATATACAGTACTGTGTGTGTCTGTTTTCCTCAGCATAGAATGCCACTGAGTAAATTCATGTATTTGAGGCAACGACTGAGGGAAACTGAAAATATAGAGAACTTATTAGTAATTAATAAATAAGTATCAAATAATTCTGCAGGAATTACTTAGAAGCTGGAACAGTATTCTAAAGTGAAAATATAGGGGACCCATTAGTAATTAATAAAGAATTATCAAATAATTATCTAGGAATTAGGCTACTTATAATCTGAAACAGTCTTCTAAAGTGAAAATATAAGGAACTTATTAGTAATTAATAAATAATTATTAGATAGTCCTTCAGGAATTACTTAGAACCTGAAACAGTATTCTAAAGTGACAATATAGGGAACCCATTAGTAATTAATAAAGAATTAACACATACTTCTGACTCAAATCAAACTTACTGTAAATAAAAAAAATATTAGCATATATATATATTAACGTAATCATCTAAATCTTTGTAAAATACACGACAGTTACTTGCGACAAAGGCGAAGAGAAGTGAAAAAGGCAACAGTGGCAAGGAACCAAAACTCCATCAGGTGACAGAATGGAGAAAAAAAACCTTGGGAGAACCCAGGCTCAGTGTATGTGGCTACCGCCATATTGCCGGAACTTGAATGGTGCAAAAGAAGTTTATAATGTATAAGAACTAAGTATAATAATAAGGTGTTATATACATGAGATGTTTTTGCTTATTTGCAAATCATAGCCTAAGGTAAATGTCTGCACTTATTTTTCTTATTAGTGCTGAAGAATGACAAACTGAATACTGTGTATGACTGTTAATTAGTAGTTACTTCATAGTTATTTTTCTTGAACCTTAATTAATAGATAATTAATAGTAGTTCTTCGGGAGGTATGACAGAATTCATTAGCTATTGATTAACTAACTGATACTTAACACAATCATAAAATTATATTACATACTGATTAGTTAACACATCTTCCTTAGTAGTTAACAGTAGTGACTTAAGTGTTAATAAAGAATTACCTATTAGTTCTTCATTAATTCCTTATTAGTTATGCAGTAAGTAAGATACAGTATTCTAAAGTGTTACCGAAATATCTGTAAAAAAATACTCAAGACATCCATGCCTAACATGCCAGATGGTAACTAAATAACGTTAACGGGTTATTTGACATTGCAAAACATCATTTTCGGGTTTTACCACATTAGTGTCAGAATATCCACGAAATCCAACTTTAAAACAAACAAAAGAACGCAACCTTAGACAAAAAACAAAGACAAATACGTTTGTAAAAAATTTGTATGGTAGCCTACATTGTAGGCTATTTCTTTACGTAATCTACAGTGTATTTAAATATCAAAAACATAAATAATAAATATTATTTGAAAACACTGAACAGTTGTGATCCTGGTTAAGCGCAAGCCGAGCGAACAAATTTATCTGACACCTCACCTTTGATTAACACATGTGCAACACCACCCACATTTCACAGCCATGTAAAAAAAAAGACTAGTGCCACACATAGACAGTAAAAGAAATATACAGAGCGATCTCATTGGAACTCCATTGAGACGATTGAAGCCCGTTTTTGGCGATTTTTTAGCACTTCCGTCACTGACGTGCAGACTCAAACAGAGCTTGACTACGTAGTGGGACGTGAGTGACCCGTCCGTCTTCTAGTGCTGTGGCATGAGAAATCAGAATCATTCCCTTCCGAAACATGCAGAGGCGGAGAGTGTGAATAGGAGCTGTCCATGAGCTAGGAGAAGGAGACAATTTTGCTAGGTATTCTGATTAATTATTTTGTAATTTTGCCTCCACGTTTCCCCGATTGCGCGCGAGCTTCTTCTCATGTCCATACGGTAATCTCTCTACTGTGCAACAGAGAGTCACGTAGGTATGACGCAATCGTTAGCCTAGCACTAAAACTGCTTCTACGGGGCCATAACATAAGCTACAAGGTAATGGAGCTATTTATACATTGTCGTGTTTCTTTAGAAATAAATAAAGGACAAATGGGGTCTTCAAACGTCTCAGATGTAAAGTTATTCGCTGTCAAAGTGACGGCAAAATGAATGGGAGTCAATGGGAATGCTAACGCAAGTGAAGTTCTGCTACAAGATGTCAGCTCCCT